ACGTGATATTCAAATCCAAGAATATGAAACCGAAGCTGGCAATGAATTTTTGAAATTAACTATTATTTTATTAGCAATTTTTCAAATACAGTCGCCTCTGGATATAACGAACCTAATGTTCCAGCAAATTTTGTTCGGTATAGAATGAGTTCGTTATATGACACCTATACTCTATAACGAACAGTTTGTTATATAAAATTTGACCAATAAAATAACAATCATGTGATTTATATGAATATATTATATTTATTATATTACGTACATTTATTCAATTATATTATCATTATTACTATTATTATATTATTAGTTACGAAAATTATTAAGATTAAGTTGTTTAAGGTTTCTCACAATAAGTAATTTAATACGCTTATGCAACCCTTTTAAAATTTTTAATTCATCATTCACGTCTCCAAATTCTGACCCCTGTTCATACAAAAATTGTGTAATATTATTCACAGCTTTTTCCGCCTCTTTCAGACTAACTTTCTCCATTATAGGCATCAATTCATTCTCTTCCACTACAATTTCTTCTTCTTTATCTGCATTTAATATAGCATCAATTATTTCATCATCAGTAAGCGCACCTTCTGCAATTTCATCTTCAATATTAATATACTCTCGTGCATTAAGATGATCACCTTCTGGAAGAAAAGCAATTAAGTTTTCAAGCTCTACTTCTTCATCTTCAATGCTAAAAAAAAAATAAATATTAAAATTTATTGTTTATTTAAATTAAAATATTAATATATAATACATACGTATTATTATAATCATCAAAGATTGAATCATCTTCAATTTCATCACTTGGTGGTAGAATTCAGGTCTTTTTCCAGCAATTTGAGATTGTTTGAGCTGATACCATTGACCACGCTTCAGCTGAATTCTGTAGAGCTTCAAAAATATTATAATCAGCAAGCTTTTCAACAAACCCATCTTGTACATTGTCATATGCTTCAATTCGATTTTGAATAAAAAGTCGCTTATAATGACATTTAAATGAATGAATTATTCCCGCATCACATGGTTGAAGTGCAGTAGTAGTGTTTGGTGGAAGAAATTTCACATTAATACTATCTAATTTCTCTTTAGTTTCATCTAAAATAAGATGCACTGGTGCATTATCAACCAAAAGAACAATTTTTCGTCCTTTTCGTCTCATTTTTTCATTAAGTTTAAGAAGGATTTCGTTAAAGATACTGACTTGCATCCAGGACTTTTTGTTCCAAAAATAATAGACAGGAAGGTTCTTATAATTGAGATTTTTCATAGCACGAGGGGTTTTGTGTTTATGAATAAAAGAAAGTGCCATTTTTTCAGTTCCTGTTGCATTTACTGCGCAAAATATAGTAACCCGGGATTTTTCTTTTTTATGACCAGATATAGGTCCACGTGCCAGAACTCTGGAAGGTTCCATTTTCCAAAATAGTCCAGTCTCATCAGCGTTCCAAATATCTTCTGGGTTATAAGACTTAAGAAAATCTTGTAAGGCAAGGCGGTCATTTTCTATTGACTCAACTGAAGGTGCACTTGAGGCTTCACCTTGTTTCCTAAATTGTTGTAACCCATGTCTTTTTTTAAAACCAGTTAACCAACCCTCTGACTGGTGAAAATCTTCTATAGAAAATCTTTCTGCAAAAAATGCCGCTTTGACCTTTAAAATATTACCATCAATATCTTGCCTTGTATTTAGAGCATTGTCAACCCAAAGACCAAGTGCTTGTTCAAGTCGTGGCCATTTTGGTCCACGAAATTTTTTAATACTCCCTTGGTCTCCTAAAATTGCAAGCCAACGTTCCTTTTCACTTAAAATATCAGTAACTGTTGACTTTCCAATATTATACCTTTGTGCGAGACTAACATTAGAAAGGTTTGGTTCCCTTTCTTTTATTTCACAAATTTCACATTTTTGTGCTGCAGAAAGTATAGTTCTTTTTCTTGTAGTTGACATTTAACGTTAAAACAAATAGATAATCATGATAATCAATGAAAAAAGAGATGATCGATCATATAAATATGATCAGATCACGTGATGTTCGGTATAACAAATATACGGCTAATATATCAGGGCTAGTCATTATAAGTTCGGATGCGGTATAAAGGATTTTATTATAAAAGTTCGGTATATCCAGTGTAAATAATTATAAAAAATCGGTTCTGTAAACTTAGGTTCGGTATAACGAGAGTTCGGTACATAGAGGTTCGTTATATCCAGAGGCGACTGTACTGGTTTAATGTATATCATAATTAGGTCGTAGTGAAGTACACGAAGCACAATCATCGAAATCAAGTCTTAATGTTATTACTATTTCCGAAGATGAACCAGAATCAGCGCTCTATGATGATGCACCCGATGATTTTAGTGTTTCAGAACAACCGCAACTCAAGGACAAGCCTTTTAAATTAGATTGTAGCGCAATCATTGATAACTCCACGAAGATTTATAAAGACAGTCGTAAAATAGAAGTAAGTCGATTGACAAATAAAAAACGGGTTTTACCTACAAGTTCTAAAAATAAATGCCAATGATGTCAGAACAACATCACATCAGGAAATTTTTTTTGGCGTAATTTAGTGTAATATTTCGAAGGTGGTGTAAAATTTCGAAATATTACACTAAAAACGTAATATTACAAAAGTTTACACTCTTAAATTTGAATAATTATAGTAATTTAGAATATCTCGCTATCTACTGATCCAATCAAGACGATCTATAGCTCATTGAAATCAGCTCATCAAGACGGATCGAATGGTAGTAAAATCGCATTTCTACAGTTGATAGAACGCTCTATAGTATGCAGTAAAGTTTTAAATTAATAGAAAGTCATCTATCAAACGTAAAGATACGATTTTACTACCATTTGATTCGTCTTGATGAGCTGATTCCAATGAGCTATAGATCGTCTTAATTGGATCAGTAGATAGCGAGATATTCTTAAATTACTATAATTATTCAAATTTAAGAGCGTAAACTTTTGTAATATTACGTTTTTAGTGTAATATTTCGAAATTTTACACCACCTTCGAAATATTACACTAAATTACGCCTAAACAAATTTCCTGATGCCACTGATTTACTTGAAGTCTCAGAAAGTGACGGTGATGGTGATAATATAGAAGATAGCGGTAAATCTTTCAAAAGTTCAGATAAGGACTATGGCGAAAGACAAAAAACCTGACAACTCGTAACATCACGTGATTCAAAAAAAGGTGATTATGTTCTTAATTACTAGTTGTTTATTATGAATATTAAATTTTAACAATTTATATAAATACACCTTTAGGCAAACCCGAAGCTTTAAAGGGGATGAAAAATGTTTTCGAAGTTTGTCAGTGGAGTGGGATACCACCATATGATATAATTATATCATATGGTGGTATCCCACTTGCCCTAGATTATATTACCACCATATAATCTGGATACCACCATATAATCTAATTACCACCATGTAATCTGGATACCACCATATAATCTAATTACCACCATGTAATCTGGATACAACCATATAATCTAATTACCACCATATGATCTAAATAATATAATCTAATTACCACCATATAATCTAAATAATATAATCTAATTACCACCATATAATCTATTTATTTTTATGAATTAGGTATCTTTTTTATGCTCTAGCTATCCTTTAAAATCTTTCTTGCTATCTGTTTTTTTTTATCACCATATAATCTAACTACCACCCACCATTTAATCTAACTACCACTATATAATCTAAATACCACGCTTTTCTTCTTGTTTCTGAGTCGTTTACATGCTAAATTATATAATAGGATTGTTGGCCTTCTGTAGCTGTTTAGATACCTGGTTTTATGTTAAGGGTGTTGACTTCCTATACCTGATTGGATGCCGAATTCTATATTGAGTGCTTACCTTTTTGCGCCTATTTGGTTGCCTTTCTAGATCCCAAAATGTGGTAAAAAAATATCATGTTGGGTGGTGCAGTAGATCTGCGATTAATTTTGGCCGGCACTATGGTATAATTTCTAGCCGATCTTTTGGGCACATGATTTGAGGGATCAAAGTTGGCGCCATGGTAGTGACCTGATCGTGACCTGGTAGCTACCATGGAACTGTCATGGAACTGGCAAGGAGCTAGTATGATTTTATTAGTTCGCCAGTTTCAGGCCACTTGTATGCTGGCTTGGATGCCGAATTATTACGTCCAATGTTCTGGCCGAAATTGTGGAATAGTGCTGGCTGAAATTATGGAGCGAATTTTGACTGCGCCTTACTGCGCCAGTCACGTGATCCTGTTACAGCACCGAACACCCTCACATAGTTACGGGATAGTGACGGGAATGTTCTAGGAATGTTTCCGGAACCCAATATATATGCATTTGTGTCAAAAAAAATGTCTAAACAAGTACAAATCATAAATCTTGAAACTGGACAACAAATCACACTAGATGGCTTACACAATATCAGTGGCTAAGTTTAATTCTACTTTCGTCTACATATTTGTCTTTTTACGGTGTTTTTTAGCATGAATATCGTACTTCTGAGGCCCGATCATGGGTCGAGGCAGTGTGTATGCCAATTTTTTTTTGAGCGCCCCTATAAAAATTCTCTGTCCCTAGTGTCCCTAGTGTCCCTAGTAAAAGTAAAGTTGTGGCCGAATTTATGGAATATTACGTTATCAAAATTAAACAAAAATCTATTGTGCCAAAAATAATAATAAAATTTGTCTAACTTCAATATCAATTTTGGATATTCTATTGGGCGTGCAATTTGTATTAGCTTGGCCGGCCCATTTGTTTGCTAAGAAGTACACCATAACTATTGCGCCAGTATATGTATGCCGATTTCGTGTCCGAAGTTCAAATCATTAGAGTGCATTCATATTGCCTTCGGTGGCATATTTTCAGGCGTATTAGTGCAAAATAGGACGGATTTTTTGTTGTCACCAGCTGTCACTGGTGTCACCAGTTAGTATACGGAACTAGTGACAGAACTAGTGACACGTTCGTTATACTTCTTGAGGTTATTATGCTATTTCATTTCTTTCTTGATTAGTGTCACTAGTGTCACTAGTAAAAGAGTAATAAATTCTAGGAAAAAAAATCGAAGTTTTTCTATGCTATCCAGTCTATATAAGATATAATATGATGAATCTATGATGTACAGTATGTATGCTAAAAAAAAATAAAAGTTGGGAACCTCGGATTTTCTCCAGTGACACCAGTGGCACCAGTGACGCAGACGATAGGCTCATCAAGAAAAGTTTCCTTCGGCTTAGAATTCCTAAAGAGCCTATCGTCTGCGTCACTAGCTTCTGTCACCAGCTTTTTTTTCCTGTGTCACTAGTGACAAGTTGTATCATTTTCGTTTACCTCTAAATTACCTACCAGTATCTCTGCCGAAGCTAAGTCTACCATCCTTTTCTGATGGTATTGTTCCCTTTTACGGTGCTTTCTAGCATGATCATCGCAATATCCATATCTGGAATAAGATAATTTTCCACATTCTTTGCAAAATACCTGAGAAGGAGAATTGCGATGAATAAAACATTCTTCCGGATGGTAGCATCCTCGATTGCAAATCTTACCACTCCTGTGGATATAAGTACATCGATAAAATACCATTTTAATAACTATGGATTGTTGATTTATGTATCGATCTATATAGTTCGGAATTAATTTTCATTTTAAACTTTTTTCTCCCGGAGTATATAGTTTCTCTCGAACTGTATATTTGCGATATAATATTATGACTGAACAATCCTCGCTTTCAGAGTTCTTCGACGCCTCCGCCCTTTTTCATCCAGAGGCTGAAAAAGATAAAATGGAAGCCCAAATAATTCGCTATTCCGGTGAAAAAAACTTGTCAGGCATTCCAACTCTGGATGATATAGTTGCAGAAAATGATGAGGGATTAATGACAATTCTTGAAGATGCTCTATCTAAGCAACATGATATTCCTTTTATGGCCATTAAGAATGAAGGGTCAACAGAAAAGATAAAAGGAATGTACCGCTATGTATTGCGTCTTTATGGTCGCCTTATTAACGGCCAAAAGGCACTGGTAACTCTTGTGGGCATTCAGGTTTTCTTTGACATTCTCGTACCAGACGGAGAGACCTCAGATGAATGCGAAGAAAAGGTGAACAAAATTCTCTTTAGCATTGTGAAATCATATAAAATAGAGCATATTAAAGCTTTCCCTTTTCGCGGTTATCATACAGAAAAAAAGACATATTTGCGAATTTATACAAACAGTACTGGCGGTAGAAAGACTGCTATTAAAGCTGTTCAAGATAATAACTTCGAGACTGCATCAGATGATTTATACTCATTTCACCGTAAGGTAGCCCGAGAGAACGGTATTCAACTCTCTGGATGGTCTATAATAAACAAATATATTTACAAGCAAGGCAAAGGGACCAGCCCGCTCTATAAGCATGAATTCGATGTATCTATAAAAGATTTCTGTCCGCTAGAGGATATTACAACAATAAGTGACCGATTCCCTATTTCAGCTCTCTTACGGGATCGTACTCTTGTTATCACGTGGGATATTGAGACGCAATCACAAGAGTTGGGTGAATTTGCCGAAGTCCTTGATCTGAATCATAATGTTTTTATGATTTGCATGACATTGCATTGGAAAGATGATCCAAAACCACTAAAGCAAATAAGTATCGTCGATGTTGAGGCAGAACCAGATCCACGCTGGACCACAATCGTATGTGGAAACCAAGAAAATCTGCTGAAAGCATTTGCCCTCTACTGGCGAGCATTTGCACCTGACATCCAAGTTGGGTTCAACGATTCTGACTATGATTGGCATTTTATTATGGAGAGAGCATATCATCTTAACATACTCGAGTGGATGTGGGAGCGAATGACAGGAAAGTTTGAAAGAAAGAAAGAAATTATAAAGTGGAAATATCGTGGAAAGATAGGAGCGAAATCAGAAAATGATTACATGAAAAAGTACCCTGTTAAGGCTCCTGAGAAAGGGGAGGAGGATCCAGAGGAGAAAGAATATATGGGTGGTCCAATTAAGATCAAAATTAGTGCGGAAGAAGATTTTACTTCTAGCTTTCTTGAACTGCCAGGTTGCATACCAATTGACGTCCGAGTGTGCCTCAAAAAACGTTTCCCTCGTTCTGAAGTCGATAAGAAAGGTTCACTTAAATTTTTCTTACAAAAGTGTGGTCTTGACAGTAAGGCCGATATGCCATATGATAAAATGTGGAAAATCTATTCAGAGGCAAAAAAAAACCCCTCCTCAACAACCACAAGAAATATGCGTGAAGTAGCACATTACTGTATTATAGATGCACTGCGCTGTCAAGAGCTTTTGGTAAACCAAAGTATAATAAATGATTATAGAGAGGTCGCCTCCATAGCTTATGTTTCTCTTTTCGACGCACACTATCACGCAAATGGAATGAAGGTACGAAACCTTCTCGGCGCATATGCTGTCAAACGAGATATGGTAATAAGTACAAGGGTTCATGAAAACATAGAAAAAGGGAAATATCCTGGTGCGTACGTATATCTACCTAAAAAAGGGATTGAAAGTAAAAGACCTGTAACGGGATTGGATTTTGCTTCATTATATCCTAGTATTATAATGGCATATAACCTCTCCCCAGAAAAATTTATATTTGATCCAAAGGATGCCGATATTGCGCAAAATAATGGAAATAACTTGCATAAGATTGAGTTTTCGTTTAATAATCATATCGTCCAAGCTTGGTGCATCCGCCATGATAACCAAACGGAAAAGATAGGCCTATATCCGGCCGTATTGAAGGATTTATTTAACAAGAGGTTGGATCTTAAAGCACGTCTAGCCCCACTAGGAAAGAAAAAGCAACATCTTGGGAAGATGATAAGTTCAACTAAAGAAAGAGGCAAAAAGATTCCAGAAAGCTTAAATTTAGAATATTCATCCGTATGCTTTGATTACGATTATTGGGATTCGAAGCAAAAAGCTTTGAAGGTATACATGAACACTTTTTATGGGGAAGCTGGAAACTCACTATCTCCTATCTTTCTTCGTGAATTAGCCTGTGGAACAACTACGGCGGGAAAATATAACCTTAATCTTGTTGCCGAATTCGTAACAAAGAAAGGGTTTGGGATAAAATATGGGGACACCAATTCTTTGTATCTTACCTGCCCAGATAAGTATTATGAAATATGCGATAGAGCTTTTAATGAAGTAAAGCTTTCCAAAGAAGCGTACTGGACTGAAATGGTCAAAATTACTATGGATGTGATGAGAAAGTTGCGCGATCAAGTAAACGCTTATCTTAGGATAAAAAGTGGGACCTCTTATCTAAAGATGGCTTACGAAGAGGTATTATTTCCCGTCTGCTTTACTGGCAAAAAGAAGTACTTTGGGATTGAGCATGAAGATGTAGTAAACTTTAAACCAAAAAACCTCTTCAAGAAAGGAATAGAAACTGTAAAGCAAGGTAAATCCCAGCTTCTCAAATTCATCGGAGAGAAGATTATGAGAGAGGCTATGGATATAAATAATACACGTCCAATTCACGAAATTGTTAAAGATACTCTTAGAGAAGCCCGAAACAAGGAATGGGATTTCAATGAATTTATCATAATGGGTACATGGAAGCCTAAGAAAAATAATCTCTGCAACAATCGCTTTATGGGACGTATGAGAGAGAGAAATGAGAGGATTCCTGATCCTGGTGAACACTTTAGCTATGTTGTTGTGAAGGGTCCTCGTCTTCGCAATGAGAAAGGCAGGTTAATACCGTATAGAGTTGGGGATTATATGGAGTATGCGGACATAGCAAAGGAGCAAAACATGGAAATAGATATCAATTATTATTTAGGCACTACGGTTGGAATGTGCGCACGCTTTATTAATGAGGATGATAGCTATCAACCGCCCTCATCACATAAAATAATGCAGATCAAGGATTCAGATGTGAGAGAAAAGAAGATCGACAAATACTCCTAGGACGAGGCTGAAAGACAGCTTAAAAAATATATAAAAACTTTACAATAAACCTTTCTAGGTATTTCGATGATTCGTCCGAAGCAGATATAGACGAGATCATTGAATTATATAGATAAGTACTCTTAGCGGGATGTGGCAATTTCAGCTAAGATACCTCATATAATATTTATATTTTTTCGTAGAATAATACCGGCTAACTTCAATTTCTATCTCCGACAAGGCGCCTCCGATCATACAGTTCGGCCTCGGAAATGCCCGGAGATGATAAAAAATAGTTCTGGTAAGGAGAATATTCAATATTACTTTTTTTCCGCGAATTCCACCATTTCCTGGCCATAAACCATATAATCGTAATAAGTACTAGGGTAAGTATAAAATATATTAACATAGGCGACATCAAGGAGCTCGTGACGATAGGAGCAGTTGCTGGTAAAGACACCGCTTCTACACCACCTGCGGAAAATATTTGGGAGGGTGGAGGATTAAGAGCGGAAAGTTGTAATTCTTTTGGGACCTGTTCACTCTCATTTTCTTTTAAATTGTTTATAGGCGGGGGTGGACGATCTACTTCATTATTGTCCTTTAACGCTAACTGCTCCCTAAGGGACCTATTTGCCTCTATTAAATTTGACCGCGTTAAAAATAAAGAATCTATCATCTGATTGTATATGTTTTTTGAGGACTCTATTCCCTTTTCCATACATTCTATTTCGTATTTTTTCGAGGATAAATCACCCCTCACTTGCTCCAATTCAAGCCTAAGAGAATCGATCTCTTTAGGATCAGATGAGTTTATTTGGGCCGGCTCATCTATTAGACCTCCTACTACATTTGAATCGTGGAGCACCTGATCTAGCTCCAAGTCATCCAACTTACCTTCCAATTCACGTACTTTAGTTTCAAGAGAAAGAATCTGGACCTTATCAGCGGACGAAGCTTTCTGGGTCAAAGTTGCTTCTCTCTTTAGTGTTTTAATATTAGATTTGAGCGATTTGATTTCGGCAGTATATTTGGCTTCAAGCTCATGTTGACTCTCGAGATGAGACTTTCGTTCAGAAATAAGTTGGGATCTAACTTTAGTAGTAGATGCAATTAACTGGCTAGCTTTATTTTCAAACTCCTTTTCTCGCTCATTGTACTTATTTACCAGCTTTTCGCTGAGATCATTAATCTCAGAGTTAAATTCGGTAATGGATCTTAATTTTTTTTCGAGCTCTTGCTCATATGCACTACCCAGCCAATGACCAGGTTTTTTATAAGAACCACCCTCTCTATCTTTTATATCATTCAATGTATGCACATTGGACATAATATTAGCATGGTTATATATTAGAAAAAAAAAATGTACGAATTTATTTCCGAGATAATAAACTTATCCTATACAATCAGAATAATACAATTTTTCTAAATATCCTATTTATCCCGTATATCCCGTATATCCTATATGTCCGGAATATTATCTTCCTATATATCCTGTATATCCTATATATTCAGAATAATACATTCTTTCTATATATCCTATTTAATAAATTATTTCAGAGTATTATATTAGATATATAAAAAAATATTGCTACCATGCTCAGACAACACATGAGATGTGACGCCCCTCCTTTTTCACCAGCCGATTATGATCATATTATGCAATGTGCTGAAAAAAAGACTAGAGATAAAGTTTTAAAGGATTTAACAAATAAATATCACACATCACAAAAACGTATTTATCAGATCTGGAGAGGTGAAGAAAAAAATAGGGTTGCGTGGAATCAACCAATTCATATGCCAACAGCTTCGCTTTCTAATATAAATGTTGTGGGCAGGCGGACCGAGCCAGAGATCCAAGACCAAGATGTTTCTCCATTTGCAGAACTGGAAAAACAAATACGTGATGGTAAGATAGAGCCTAGCAAATCTATTGATTCAGTTTTAGAAGAAGGTGAAAAGGCAAAAAAGGCTGGAGGGAAGAAATCGAAGTCCAAATCCGCCTTAGCAGAAATAACACCATTTCCCGTCCAGACTCAACCCATCCCCATATCGCATGAGAAGGTGGTAGAAAGAATATAGCGAATATTAAGAATATAGTAGAAAAATAACCTGCTTATTCTTTAAGAAGTTCACAATAGAGTGTCTGTAATCTTTCACAATACTCATTGATTTCTGCATTATACTTAAAAATGCTATATAACATTTTTTCAAGCTCTTCGTAACTCACTTTTTTTTTAATGTGCTATCTTCGCTTAAATCCTGCGAAATATGATCCAGAGTCGAGGAAGCATCAGATTCAGGAGTAACGTTCGCGCAATTCACCTCAAGCTTATTCTTGACCTTATTGTCCGGAGCGAAGCGAAGGACTATATATGTTTATGAACCTTAATGACATATTGGATCACGTGGCGATGTCCGTTTGTCCGCACGCGTCACGTCGGCTGATTCTTTGTGCTACATAGATAAACAAACCTGATAAACAAGATAAGCTAGTGTTAGTACTGTGTTAATATACTGCGCGCAAAAATTAGTGTTACAAGAATAGTGTTACAAGATATACTGCAAAAAAAAAATGTGAAAAAAAAAAAATTTAAAATGTTTTGTAGAATTAGAAACTTTAGTTAGATTCGTAGAAATAAAATAATGTATTTTATTTACAACACAAACACGCGTTAAATATAATATTAGACATAATAAAATGTTTTTATCAAAAATACCTTCAGTTTTTTTTGTTTTTTTATTGTTAGATCTATTATTAAATTCAGTTTCCTGGCATCATGGAAACTAAACGTTTCTCTTCGGCTAATCTTTCTTTTAATTTTGTGCATTCTTTAATACGCTGAAGTCTCTCGAAATTGAACGGTTTGAAGAGAAGATCTTCAAGGGCGCGTACCCGAGACACTGCCACAAAAGCAAGACCTGCGATAAACTCTTTATCACCAAGGTCTATTGTAGCCTTTTGTAATGTAAGACCCTGACTTTTATGCACCGTAATTGCCCACGCAAGACGAACTGGAATTTGTAAGCGCGAACAAGGAGCTCCAGATTTACCATTCCAGGTACGTCTAATTGGTACAATTGGTACAACTCTTTTACCCTCTAAGCTAGTAATGGTGGGACCTTTATAATTATCGAAAGAGATCAAGACCGCAATAGGGAGTGAAGGGGGACCCTGATCTTCTTTGAATATTATGTCTTGGACAGTTCCCATTGAACCATTGACTAGCCCGGCGTCTGTCTGTAAGTTTGCCGTTAACATGACTCTTGCAACTCTCGCCAGCAATATATATGCTCCGAGACCATGCGCTGTATCCGAGTCGGCTTTTTTAGCTTCTTTTCCACCTGTATGTATAGCTTGGATTTTGGCAACAGGAGCATCCAAAGATCGAAGTCGATCTATATTTACCGCGTTGACTTTGGACCACTTTGTTAGAATGAACAAAGCGTCAGAGAATCTACTACGTTCTATTATACTGAGCTTGTCTTCAATTCGTGTGGTAAGAATTTTCCAATCATCTATAGTAGATTCTCCATTACGCAGTCTTAAGAGAATATTTCTAAAGTTTTGTTGCTCTTTAGAATTTCCGGATTGGCGCTGTGCAATTTCAAGCTTATACACTTCTTTGAACTGCTTGTATGCCGCAATACCACTATTAGATAATGAACCTCGTTTTGTATCAGCATACATAGGAAGATCAAGGACAGGTGGAAGTTGGCCGAAGTCACCGAACAAAATAATCGACCTGCCACCAAATGGTTCGTTATTATGTTCAGGAAAAGCTTGTCAGAGCCGCTTATCAATTATAGCAAGCATCCGACGACCAACCATACTCTTCTCGTCAATTATTACGTAACTTACATCTTTTAATTTATCTTGTAGTTGCTTCAGCCGTTCCCCGCTTATATCAAGACAGTTTGCGTCATTAACTATCGGAATTGATAGCCCTGAATGAATCGTTATACCTTCAATGTTGAAGGCCGCAACTCCTGTCAGAGCGAGCACTGCTATAGGTGACTTAGGTCCTCCTGCCATTTCTCGAAGCCTGCATCGGACTGCTTCTATTAGATAGGTCTTACCGGTCCCAGCAGTTCCCATCACAATGATCCTTAAAGGTTCATCTTGACGTCCCTCAAGCGTATTGTGATAATGTGATTCTATTCGCTCGAAAACAATTTTTTGATTAACATTTAACGTTTGATAATCCATTAATACGTTTTCTTCTTCGCCAATCTTAGGATTTCTACTTAAAAATGTATCAATATCTACGAGGTCCGTATATCGTTCCCTCGGATCGTTAATCCAGTCATGGTTCTGATCCATGTCTCGCGAACCTAGATCGGAAGAGCAATCGAAATTTGGTTTTGGGCCCATCTCAGCAAGAAACATCCAGTCAGGTCGATGTTCGTCTTGTTCATCATCATCTTCTTCAAATAGTTCTTCCTCATCGTTTATTTCGCTTTCTTCATCGTCTATAGGTGACCCAAGTAAATCAATTGGATCAGCATTGATCTCTTCGATATAATCGTTGTACAAAGATGACCATACAATAGTTCCGTCTTCGGTTAAATCTTGATCTCGGTGTCGAACGTGAAGAAGAACCTTCACTCGGTAAAACTCCTCCCATTGAGGACCCTCGCGTAAGGATGATGGACGTGGAAAGACACGCATAACATTTTCCTGTTGACACTCTTTCCATCGACCTTTAACCAACTTGTGTGTCAAGTGAAGCCGGAATAGTGTGAAATCTTCAAGTTCGGTAGGTCGATCCCAATATATTTTCAAAGGTGATTTCTCCGTTCGCCCCGAATCATTATTAACAGAATAAGATTCTTCACTTTCCCCAGTACCACAAATCCATCTTGGTGCTTCTTTGTTAAGATTCAAGAAGACAAATTGCAGACTTGAATGGTAAAGAGGAAGGCCGAGAAGAATATGGCAGGTTTCTTGGGCAGAGATGTCCAGTTACGCAACACTATGTAATAAAAGCTTTTGGGCCGGAGCAAGTAACGTATCTTCTGGCTGACTTTCACTAAGGATTCGATTTAATACGTCCGAAAAGGCTGACGATCGCGGTTCTGCTTTGCTTGCATATTTTGCAACGTATTGCAGCGCAGCGTGTATACTTAGGATTGGCTTTAAATCCACATTTGCCCGCCAACCCTGTAATTGAAGTCGACTATGTGAATTTATGTATTGATCGTTCCTTCTCGTTACAAGCTCCGGTTGTCCATTGTTATCATCTAGCACGAATGTTCTTTCAACAATTTCTTTAGGATATCTAAACCGGCAAATTTGTTGTCCTTCTCGGTTGATACGAAGACAGTACGCAGGACTACATCGGGTATGTCGTTGCAATTTATTAATCAAGTCGATGTAGTCTTGCTGGTCATCATTTAATTCATTGCTTTTTTTTTGGCACGGATGCCGTTCAGGAACAGGCATATCGAGTCCTGGATTTATTGTGATAACGAGACTGTCAAGATATTGTATAATTTCATTCATTTTGTTCTCATCTTCCTTCATATGCTTCCATTCTATTGTAGGTGCATTTTTTCTTTTTCCGATTCCATGCACGTGAACACTGCCGCGATGTTGCCATTCGAACCTAAACCACCAATCTTCCAAATCCCATTGTTTCTTTAAGACGTCGTTAAAGAAAATTTCAAATCGCTTATGAAAAAACCAGTCCGCGATATGAGGATTATCCACGATATTTTGGTTATGGCGTTTGGCTGAAGTTTCACGATTACCGTTAGATGGCATAAGCTGATGGAGCTCAGGCCAATGCAAATCGGCGGCACTAAACGTAAAAAAGATTAAGCCATCCGGTCCTATCTGCTTAATCATATCGTTTAATTCATTGCATCGAGCATACCAAAATTGACGAGATCCACGTAAACCTTCTCCAAATCGCATGATTCTATTGGCCATATAGTTATCGCCTTGGGTAATTCTTTCCTGAATATCTGTAACGGTAATTTGCGCATCGGTAAGATTTTGCTTAACGTACACCTTTCCTTCTTGTAGTGCCCGCCAACGCATCTGGGAATTCAATGCGAAATACCGCCAACGAGCATGACGTGCAAATCTTCCGTCCTTGTATTGAAGAAGGTGCCTGAAATACTCGGCAGGCTTTATATCTCTAATACGTTCTGCGCGAAGGTCTGCACTTCCAGTCGGGTATAAGGTTGGGAATGCGCATGCTATATACCCTGGCGTCTGGAATTCGTTAACAGGACTTCCATTTATTTGTGGCCACATTATGGGATGATTTTCATTTTGTATTCGATCGAGTGTGTTTCTAATAGCAGTATCTTCACGATTGGCTGAGGGTGGAAGTGGAACGAAGGTACGTGTAATAACGTCATCCTCACTTTCGTCGTAATCAATATCTTCATTAATATCTTGAAGTTGGTCATCAATTGTGCCATCAATTGGCAGAGACTGGAGAATTTCATGGTCGATGATTACGTCAGCGTAGTAACGATTATTGTGTTTTAACCAGATTAACGCTTGAGTGACCTTATCACGACGAACTTTGAAATCCCTAAACGCTTCCGCATTGCTCGCAGATTGACGACGTATGACAAGCACATCTAATAACGATGGATGCCTAGGAAGCTTTGAAGCAAATTCTTGGACATATTGAGGAAAGTTGATTACGTTTCCTCGATATCCATGCTGACCTCCACGAAGTCTATAAACCGACATCACAGGAAATACTCGCGCAACCAACATTTCCTCAATTTCTGTGAGATCACGAAGTTCATCAGGTACTTCGCCTGGGTCCATATTGTTATCTTTCGAAAATTTTTTTGGCTGCTTCTCTTTATGGCAACGTCGGCATTCCCCCCTTATAATTACAATTGATGGAAAAATTTCATTGCACGTCGTGCAGAGCGAATGTTTAAATTTATTAACTTTGTTACGAAATTTCTTTAGAAGATCTCGCTCGAATTCACCAAGTACACCAGCATCGATATGTGTGTCTGCGCCATCTTCTGCGCCGTCATCTTCTGCGCCGTCACCTGCGCCGTCACCTTCTGCGCCGTCACCTTCTGCGCCGTCCGCGCCACTATCTTGATACTTTTGCTGCAGATTTTTTTGTTGCGAATTCAAGTCTTGGGCCGTTGTATTTTGAATATTTTTCAGGTATTTTCTTCGTTCACGGTAGTAACTAAGACATTTTTCACGTTGTTCGTCCGTTTCTGTTGCTAACTTTACGCGTTTTCGTTCTTTGTCACGTGCATCACGCGCCTCTCGCTCTTCAGCATTTGCATTTTCCCTTGCTCTTTTTTGCCACGTAATTTCACGTTGCTTTGCAAGGCGTGTTTCACGTTGACTAGATGTTTCATTCTCTCTAGCTTTACGCTTTCGAAGTGTGTCTCGGCTTATGAATTTATTATCCATTATGCATGCTATAGAGAAACTCCATAGTGGCTTGTATTTTACTTTTGTTAATCGAACATCGCATATGATCATCACGCCAGATTACCGTATTTAGAATAAATATTAGTGATAAAAAACGGTTAATTATGCATTTATTCTTACGAATTTATATTTACCAATTTTCAATTGTTGTTAATAATTAATTACATGATAATAGTATGATATACTTATTTAAATTTTATTTTACAAATAATACTCAAATTTTATTAACGTATACATTCAATTATTACATTTGATATTTATGATTACTACATTTCTTATCTAACCTTAAATTCGAAATGTTGCAAAAGTAATTAACAAAATTTTCTCGCTCCGGACCCCCAACGGTTTCTGTTTCCTAGTGCATATTAATTGGGATAAAAAATTCCTTACTATTACACTCTAGTTTCAATTCCCGCTTTGATACAAGTAAATCATAATTATATTTATCAAGAAGCGTGTTGGGTAAGATTAGCATCGGCTTAGGGTATTTAACTACAGCAAAATCAGCATATATAGTACATCCGGGAGCGAAATTTACTGGGACATTTCTGACAATTCCAAGGGATTCTGTGGGAGAAGTAGCAATGCCTCTGAGATCATGTTTTTCTTTCGTGTCAATCTCTAGCTTCAATCGTTTGGCTATGTCCTCAGACATGATCGGAAAATTAGCACCAGGATCAACTGTACCTGCCGGAATCACTAGACGCTTAATTTTACATTTAACGGTGGCAACGTCTGTGACAGGTTCTTTTTTCCGGATAAAATTTATCTCCATGGGTCCATCCAAAATATCTTCTTCATCTGAATCTTGAGCTAAGACAGGTACACAGTTTTTAGCTTGCTGAATTATGTATGGAAGATAATTCTCAAATTCAATTTGAATGATTTTGCGGATAATTTCTTCTAAAGACACACGCTTACCATGACTATCTTTATCTGATAAGGCATTATGGGCGGAAGACGAATTATTGTCTTGCTTTACCTTACGAAGCTCAGATTTATTAGAGATCTTAGACTTTGAGAATTTATCGGGATACCCACGTTGCTCAGCGGGTCCTAAAGGGACCGCGTAATTCACTTTTTTTTTCTTATATAAATATTCATATCATGATTTCCAGAGTCTGAACCGGCTGACGAACCATCAGAGTTATAACCATTCTCCTCAGGTTTTGCTGTATCATCATCAGAAAAAATGGGATCAGACTGTTCATCTATTGTAGCCATATGAACTTGACCACTTCTGAATTTGGAATCTTTAGCGAGTTTAGCCAATAAAGCTTCGATTTGTCCTAATCTTTTTTCCAGCCCCCCAAAAGGTGAAGACTCTGAGCGTTGACGCTGAGACGATTTGGTATCTTTTCTGGCAAATTTGGCCAAGTGGGCTTCAATTTGTTCTAATCTTTTTTCCAATCCTCCATTATTATAATCTGGGGATTCTGAATACCGATACTGGGTTGATTTGGTATCTATGGTATCTTCTCTTATGAGTTTGGTGAGTTTGGCTAAATTAATTTCGATTACTCCTAATCTTTTTTCCAATTCTTGATTAATATGACTATCAAAGATTGAAGGATTGTTCAAATTAATTACATTTTCTGGTAGCTGTAAACGTTGGGCAAGTTTAGAATGTACTTGCATTGATTCTGCTAACTGTGCCTCCAAAGAAGCTACTTTGGAATTTAACTTTTCAAAATTGGCCGAAGCTTCATTATTTTGGGGGTGCACTTGAGCCGGTTGTGCTAGTTGCGCCTGTAGAGATGCTATTTGGGAATTTAACTTTTCAATCTCGGCTGAAGAATTACTCTGATAATTTTGACCCCCATTTAAATTGGGAGCACGCTCCAGCCACATGTCTTTTAGATTTGTAAAAAATGCATTAATAGTGGCAGGAGAGACAGCTCGCATCCATGTATAAAGGTCGCCTGATAAGTGGTTCTTAAGAAATCCTATAGTTTGTGCATCATTATCTGCTACACCTAATAATAAAGGTCAGATTCTTTTTTCATAAGTATCTGGCGAGTCTGTGGGTAGAAATTTTTCTTGAGTTAATCTTTGAAGTGCTGACTGCCGACTACCTACTGTTTCTCGTTGATAATGTGATCTCATCCAAGCACGTAAAGTATCTGGAGTATTAATATTAGCATTTCCATTATATGGGTCTTGAGCAGGAACTGGTAAATATTTTCCTCCCATCTGAGCTTTATAAATATTACACTTGACAGCATCATCAAAATCTCCAGCATTTGCATTTTCAAGAACAGTCATATGTCCTTACGCAAATGATATTGATTGAATAAGCCTATAAAAATAATCATCAGGAGGTTCTTGGCCTGTATACGGCTTATTTTTAGCAAGAATAGGTGCAATCAAATTTAATACTGGTAAACGTCTAGCGTCAGCCATATTTACTAATGGATTATTCTGAAGCGCCAAAATTTGTCCTTGCAAATTTAAAATATTCTGGTCTCTTTGCCTAATAACTAGCTGAAAAACAAACTTTTCACGTATCAATTCGCCAATACGGGTTTGTTTTCTTGCTATAATAACTATCATCCTATTTACCTGATTTTGGGCATTAGTCTGTAACTGACGGGTATTTTGCTGATGATGGTTAACATTTCGCTGATATAGTAGCTGTTTAGCAAATTTTTCTCGTATTAATTCTTGAACACGCCTATCTTTATCCCGATATGAGAAACGCCAGCGACGGGATTCTTTTTTCTCATTATTATAAGCCAGAATGGCCAGATCCCGCTCTCCTTGAGCATTGTCTCTTTCTCTCATAGTTCTTTCAACCTGAATTTGGGATTCATCTAATAAACGTTGTAACCGTAAATTCTGATTTCTACTATCTCTTAACTGATTCCTATAGTCCCGTTACCGGTTATTCGTATCATTTAATATATTCTGGTACTGATCACGCTCAGCTGTAATATTTTGCAAAGTAACCCGAATAGTATTTAATGAGCCTCTGATACCATCTATAACATTAGCAGGATTCTGCATAGGAGTACCAACTCCCCTAATGTGATTTTCAATTCGATCTAACCCTCTATTAACATTTGCAATAAGATTGGTTGTTGCCATATCTAAAGCATTTATTGAGATTTTTTTATCTATAAGAATCCGGATTCTTGCTTTAAGACTCCCAACCTTATTTTCAAGCTCTATGATTCGTCCATCTTGAATAGACCCAACCTCATCTTTGAATTTCTTATCCTGTTGTAAAACTCTAAGCTGTTTTCGCAAATCAGATATTTCTGATTTAAGTTTCTCTATCTCTTTCTCGTGAGCTATGATAGTATTATCCTGTATTGAGATAGTTCGATAACATTGCTCAAGCTCTTTTACCAGAGATCGAATTTTTTTCTCATTGCTCTTATTAATGAAAATCTCATCTTGAAGCTCACCACGAAGCTCCTGATTCGTATCTAAAAGCTGTGAATATGCC